CTATGGTTTCACAGGCTAAATAAAATCCAGAGCCTGCAGACTGGCCCAATGGCCTCAAAATTCCCAGTCTTCAATACATGCAGCCTCCTACCCATCCTTCGGTATTGATTCTGAGAAAGTACTGCATTGTCTGGCATTGTAAGAAAAACCGAACATCACAGAATTGATGAACCATTTTCATTTTTACGAGCTGCCACTTACCCAGCACCACCGCAAGTACGGATGTTAAAGAAGAACTCAAGGAATTTTTTATTAAGTTCTCGTTTTTGTCTAGGTTGAAAACAAAAAGTGTAAGACTCACCCGAAGCTCCAAGCTGGCTTCTTAGAGCGGTCCTTCCAATGTGTCTCTCCCTCTGCAGCGGTCTAAGGCCCTATATATTGTTACATCTATACACAGTGTATAGGCGTGAGGATGCTGAAGAAGATTCCAATGCTGCGGGGAGGGCTGGAGGAAGCGCTGTGACAGCTGGCCGGGTTGGGGCTAGCATCTATAGTCAAACAAGCACTTAGCCCTTGCAGTGTGGGGGTAGCCCCCACTGCAAGGGTTAATACAAAAAATCCTGGAATTCTTTTAAGATAGACACCCCACTGTAGACAGCTGCCACTTGCTAAAACGACTGGCCTAGAAAATTATTTTTGGGTTCCTAAGAAGATGCTGCCTCTAACATTTCCTCCAGTGTTTTCAAAGGAAAAAAAACAAAGTTTATCAGCCGCACCTTATGTGTCCAATCGCTGTCCATCACCCACCAAAACATTCAGTTAGCCAAAAAATTCTTAGCAATGCCCTGTACCTTTTACCCCACTGTGTTAATCAGCTTAGTTCTTCACCCTTTTCTAAGCACATTGCCAAGAAATCAGTAGTTCTTTGTACTAATACTTTGGTATCGTCAGGTGGTATTTTGTACCAGTCAAGTCCTGGCGTCAGTAATATATACACAGTATATGGGCCTCTATCAGAGCATTTGGCAGTAACGGCGTAGCTAGACACGTCACCCGGGAAAAAAAGACTTGGAGTTGCTTCCCCTCCACACCCAAAAGAAGTTGTCCATCCAAACCCCACCGCCGCCACCATCTGGGCTCTCTTATTTTCTTGCGAAGGCTCCCTTCCTGATCCACCACAGAGGTGAGGCTTCAAATTGCCTCATTCTCCAGTGCAGCATTGTTAATTTATGAGCTGCTT